TATTGAATATCCTATACCTACTATAAAGTAAGTATTAATAAAAAATAGATACCTATCTTTTAATCACTAATTACTTATCTAATTATTATTATCTCTCATCATCTTTCAATCCTATTATCCCTATAATATCATCGTTTTCATAAATTCTAACATTAAGGCCTAAGGTTTATCTTATAATTCATATTGTAGTACGAGTACCTTTATAACATATAGATTTATATTTGCTTTTTATAAATGTATATTGGAATTATAATAAGCAAAACTATAATGTTAAGTATTACAAAGGTTAAGAAAACATTTCTAAGTTCTATAGCTATAATTCAAAATATAAGAATAAATATAAAGATAATAGTAAAGATATTACAAATAATTATTACTTTTATAATAATATAAAGAATAATCTATAAAGAAGTTAATAATATATTGAATTTCAAAAACTAAAAAACAAAACAGTTTACATCAATATAAACATTTGTAATATATATCAAAGTTATATTAGCGATTAGAATGATTTTAAAGTTAATAATTCCCAAATTGAATACAAGGAGAATTCAAGAACTCCTATTATACAGCCTGTAGCCGAATATAAGCAAACCTGTGGGCATAAATAAAGTGAATATTAAAAAAATCCAGAATCACATCTTAAGCTTGTAAATACTATTGTTTCGTTTCGTAAGATAAAGAATCAACTAGTTGTAAAGTGGAATAATTAGAATCAATTTTAGTATCGTGTTAATGAATATAGGTATATTCATTAGATCAACTTGTACTACTATAAAGTTATAAAAAGTCTTCATTATGTATAATATAATAATCATTATCATAATCTAAAAATTGGATATTATAATATCATAAAACACTATAATATAAATAATGAATGGAATTATGAAAAATATAATAATTAACTAATAGTAGTAATAAGCTAGCATATAGAAGAACATAGGTGATTATGTAATAAGACGAAGTCTTTATATAACATAGTTTATTAGTGCGTATACTATATTAATATATACACCACTTTTATCTCAATTTACATTTTTCAATCTCAATATATAATTTATTAACTATTTATTATATAATCAAATAATAAAAAAGAAAGAATACTCTTAACTATCAAAGTTATCAAAAAAGACAAAAAACTCTTAATTCGAAAAACTATTAAGTTATATAATATCATATATATAACATTTATTCAAAAAATAAATAAAATAATTTCCACAACTAAATTTCGATTACAAAATCTAAAACTTATTAAAATAAAAAAACAAATGATTATTTTATATATTCTTGATATAGATTCGAAAGGTTTTCTTTTTAAAATTAAAGGGGTAAAAGATATAATAAATTATATTCTCGAATTAAAAGAAAGAAAAGTTATTGGAAAGCTTTGAGCATATTAATTCATAAAATAATATAAAGAATTAAAGATATATTTTAATTATATTTATAACTTTTAAAAGCTTTCTATAAGAATCCTAAGCTTTTTAAAAAGTGATTTCAATTAGTTATAAATATATAAGTGAAATATAATATTTTGAATAGAGATTTCTATAATTTTAATGAAATAGATTTTATAATAGGAATTATATACATAATAATAATAATTATTAATATTAAGAGATATAATAAAAGTAAATTAATATAACTAAATAATTAAGAATGAATTATAGTAATAATATATAGAAATAAAAAAAGTAAAACTATTTCCTCATTTTTAATAATTTAAGGACAGGTTTACTTCTTCAATTGATATATCAGAATCAATCTTTTTATAAACTAGATTATTAAATCTATATCTAATAAATAAATAAACAATGAAACAAATTTAGAATAATTAAAACATTTTGATAAGCACATTAAGAATTAAAAAAAGAACAAATATCGAATATTAATATTGAATAAATATGAAAACTATAAATTAATAGCTTTTCAAATATATTATAAAGAGAATGGTATTATATATTTATATTTATTATTATATTCAAATTATTTAATTTAATCATTTAATATTAATTGTTTTAACAATCTAAAACATTTATATAATAATCAAATTAATAAATTTATTAAAATATATATCAATTATATTTTAAAGATTAAATTCTTTATAGCTTTCAAAATTGTATATAAAGAATTAGTCACTTTTCAAAATATAAAATTAAGATTTTAAAGAACAAGTTTAATCTCATTTAATTCTAAAATTATACTCTCGAAATTAAATATTCGAATTCGTATATTTACCTTTCCCTTTTTCAATCTAAATTAATAAATCTCTTAAACTCCTTATAATCTAACTAAAGCTCTTTTTCAATTAACATTAATTAAATCTTGAATAACTCGTTATCAATTAAGCTTACCTATATTTATATTTAATATTATACTAACTTTAATTAAAAATACAAAATAATTAATTTATAAAAATATACTTTTAAATAGTGAATAAGATATTAAATAAGTATCGACATATAAAAAAAACTTAATTATATTAAGAAAGAGTATTTATTAAATAAAAAGCTTTTAATATATTATTTTAATAAAAGATTGATATTCAAATTTAATATAATAAATGTTAAAAAGAGAGTAAATCTAATAAGGAAACATTTTTTATTTCATATTATAATAAATATAGAAAGATAGATTATAATATAAGAACCTATCAAAATAATATAATAGATTTTAAATTGTTAGATTCTAAATAGTTTTACTTAATTGATTTAATTGTTATTAAATAATATAGGTTTGAAAGTATAAATTAAGATAAAAATGATACATGTATTAATATAGTATACGCACTAATAAACTATATTATAGGTCTTTCGTTAAGATATAATTATAATCGTAGTTATAGTAGATATAATATTAATGAACTAATTATCTATACCTTTTATACTTATCTTTAATTTTAAATGTAATATACTTTAAACACTAATAATTATACTATCAATATTCATAATGAATTTGATTTCCTTATAGAAAAATATAAACAGTAAACAAATAATATTTAAAAGAATTACAAATCATCATTAGATTCATTACCATCCCTAGCTAATAGTAATGTAATTAGAGACAATTGGAGCAAGAGCGGAGTTAATATTCATAATTCATACATAAATAGAGTTTATTAGATCTTTTTAATGAACAAAAAACATATCTACTATTGTTATTTGTATAATAACCTCGGCCAATGACCTTAGAAGGTAGTTGAGCATATTGACTAATATCAAGTTAATAGTAGTCTGAATCTTAGCAATTTATATTGTAAAGGCAACTTATAAAATTAAATTAAATACATATATAGGGCGTCTGTCATATTCGAGGGAAAATGAAATGAATAGTAAGGCATTAATAGTAATAGATATAATATTAACCATATAATTATTGTTTAGTATTGTAAAGCTGAAATCCAGCTTCTGATTTATAAACTACTAAGTTAATATAGATACTAAAAGCCTATGTATTTGTAAACCTAGACTGCGTACAAATTATCTATACCCATAGATTATCTGCGAATAATTCGCTTTATAGATTATCTATCAGAAGTTCTACTTACTCTATAGATTATCTATCGAGGCTTTAAAATTACTTACTCTGTATAAATAATTCGTAGATTATTTACAAATAATCCATCTATTCATAAATAGATAAATTATCTACAAATATATAGGTTATTTATGAATAATTTGCGGATTATCTGTAAATAATCCATGAATATATAGATTCTCCGCTTTTTTTGCTTAAAATATAAAGCTATTCCCAGATTATTTTCCAGTTCAAAAGTGATTCAAGCTTAGATTTATACTAATTTTTTTATTAATTATAAAATTATATTAATATTATAAAAGATTATAAATAGTTATATAATATACAAGTAGATGAATATCTACAGATAATCTATGGATTATTTATAGGTTATTTATTCAGATTCTAAATTATCCACTCCGCAGACGGATTATCCGCAAATTATTTATCGAGGTTATTATCCGCTCTACGGATACCCGTTGCGCAGTCTGTATAAACCTTGATTTATAAAAAAAGACAAGTTACTTGCTTATTAGAAAAAAGATTTGAGTAATTCTACAATATAAATATAAAAAGTATATAAAACAATACTAGTTTATAATTGATATCCTTTTTTTATATAATTCCATTCTTTATATATTAGATTTTATATCTATTAAAGTGAATCATTTTATAAGTAAATCAATTATTAGAGGGTTATTTGGATCCTTCGAGAGTTTAGAATAAAGAATAATTTTGATTTCGTTATATAAGATATGTTCTAAATATAAACCATAAGTTAATAATGAAATTATATTTTAAGAAATAAGAAAAACATATTTTGTAATGTAATTGTTCTAAAAAACTAAGCCACACGTTTACTTTCAAAAATTATAGATTGATTTATTTTGTTAGTAATTAAAGGAAAAATAATTATTAAGTTATAGTAATGTAAAATCAATACATAAAAGAAATTTGAAAATTCATATATATCCTGAATTAATTGTAATACATTAATTAATAATATATATAACATAAATATATAATGATATTCTTATAAATAATCGGATACGATATTAAAAGATATTCTACAAAGTGGATTAAGTTAAACCTAATTTTAAGATAGGCCTTTCAAATTCGGAATTTTGTTACAATCTTATATCAATTAATTATAAAATAGGACTTATTAAGTATTAATATTTCCGAATATAAAAAAGATTTTTATAATATTCAAAACTATATTTAATTTATTGAGAGAAAAATTAATATATTAGGAATATCTTTCATATTTGAGTATTAAATCATTTATATCCATTGAAAACTGATCTATTTTATTTTAAGCTTTATAGCAATAATTTCTATTTTCTTTCAATGATTGTAGCTGTTACCCCACGACTATTAATTAAGCTTGACCGACTACACAATTTTTACATCACTATTCGCAGATTGTAGACATCATATTTATTCGCTCTACAGACGATACTCCAATAGGACACTGGCTTGTCATGTCGAAACAAACTGTCTTTGTAAATGGACATGTCTTCGGCGCTGACGGTCAATTCTACGATGCTATAATCATTGATGACGACAAGATCGATCATGTCGGATATGAGCACAATAACGAGGTCCAGTCAGCCCTCCATGATGGAGCAGAGCGGATAGATCTCAAAAACCATCTTGTGGTCCCTAGTTTCATCGATAGCCACACACATTTCCTCATGTACGGGCTTTCGCTGCAGAAACTCGACCTTGGTACGTGCGAGACGCTTGAAGAGATCCGCGCGGCTATCAGGCAATTCGGAAAGGAGAATCCACAAATTCCTCGAATCCAATATCGGGGATGGCTTCAAGCAAGCATAGAAGGACATCCCGTAGCGAGCATGTTGGATGACCTCGACCCTCGTCGAATCTTTGTTGAATCATTTGATCTCCATTCCACTTGGTGCAACACGGCCGCACTAGAAGAGCTTCCCTTGGAAAGCATGAAACCAGTGTGCGGCAAATTCATCTCCTGCGATCAGGACGGAAAACCGAGTAGGCTGCTCGCAGAAAGCGCGCAAATGCTCATTGTCTTCCCGCATCTAATCCGCGTCTGTACTATGAACGAGAAGCGAAAGGCACTGGCAGCCGCCTTCCAAACCTATATTGAGTGCGGATATACGGGGGCAATTGACATGGCAATGGACACTCAAGCATAGGAAGCTCTGAAACTTTATCGTGAAACTAAAGGTCTCCCAATACATATTGCCGCCCATTGGCGTATTCAGTATAGTGACGACACTAACAGAGAGACCTTGTCTCGGAACATAGACGAGGCGATCGCCATACACCAAGAATGGCATCCCTCCAAATTTCCCGACTTTTGTATTGTCGGCGTTAAGCTCGTCTGCGATGGCGTCGTAGATGGATGTACCGCTGCCCTGAGCCAACCCTACACGGGGCTTGTAGATCTCACACAGCCATTCTGGCCGACAGAGGAGATAAATTTTACAGTTCAGCGAGCTGCGAAGGCAGGCTTGCAATGTGCCATCCATGCTATTGGAGACCAAGCCATTTCACAGGTCATCGACGCTATTGCAAGTGCAGAAACCGCAGGCGGCCGCCATCGAATCGAGCACCTGGAGCTCTGCTCGGCCGCCGACAGCAAGCGCCTAGGTGAAATTGGCATCACCGCTTCAATCCAGTCTGTGCACTCCGACCCTGCTCTTTTGAAGGCCTGGCCGAGCCTTATCGATCCTCGCCTTTTAGAGCGAGCTTTTCCCTATAAGGAATTCGTACATAGTCATGCCAGAATTGCTATCGGTACAGACGCACCAACGGCCAAGAATTTACCTCTACCTAATCTTTATAACGCTACGACAAGGAAGTCGGCTCTCGACCCCTCGGTGACAGAGCAGCCACACGAGCAATTTGCGCACCACGCGCTCACCTTGTCTGAGGCTGTCACTGCTGCTACTACGGGGGCCGCATACTCACGTTTTGCAGAAACGTGGACTGGAAGTCTTAAGAAGGGCCTTCGAGCCGACTTTATAGTCGTGGATTCGCAATGGACGCCGGATACGCTCCTTGATGGAAAAATATATCAGACATGGTCTGGCGGTCAGAAAATTTCTGAGTGTTAGTTAAGTAGGTATATAATATATCTAAATGAATGAATATTTGAATGAATTGTATTTAGAAGTATATAGGCATATGACTCTAACTTTTATTCTCATGACTTTTCTGGTGTATATTATTAGTGACGGTGTTATTTGATAGGGGGGGTAGTAGTATAGGTAAAAAAGCTTCTCATTGTGACAAACCTAAAGCTCTCTTCTTTACCATTAGGCTACAACCCCAAAAAGGGACAATTTAAGAGTGAAAGCTCTTAAAGAAGAGAGTCTATATACTAGAGTAATGTAACTCGTCACACTCAATGCTATTACTCTGAATTCGATGAAACATTGATATTTTTTTGAAAGGCTTGAATTAATTTTCTATAACGTGGTTTATTAGTCCGTGCACTGTATTAGTATGTACATCACTTTTACCTCAATTAATACCTTTAACTCATTATTCAATAACTATTGAATTAATTGATTAAAACTATTAAGAAACTAATAATATAACGTATAAGAAACTCGGACATATAAGGAACTTGAACACTTTTTCAATTATTCTATATGCGATTTGTTCTATAAGCTATAATATTCTTTAATTTCAATTTGAATTACTTAAACTATTCTCTAGCTTTTCTTTTTCAATTTTTTCTTCTAATTTTTTGATTAAATATCTTGTAAGTATATGAAGGCTTGTATTATAATAACTATCGTATTGATTATGTAAGAATCAAGAGTGATATATTCTTAATAATTAAGCTATACTAAATAAGGGTAGTAAATTTATTTAACATACCCCTAAATTAATATTCTTATATCTATTCTATTAAGATGTCAAATTTAAGTCCTTTAATTTAAGTAAACTCACAAATATTATATATAATATCATTTGTAAAGGCTTTGTAAGATTACTTACAATTATATCTTCTATAGGAATATACTCAACCTTAATATATCCCTTCACAACCTATTATTATACATAATATCATTAAACATCGATGTACTTAGTACATTAATGAAATTCTAGATTTTTAACTGAAATAATTGATCCCTAATTGTCAGTATATATATATATGATAAAAGTATCTAATGAAATGTAATTAAATTCCTTTAATATTTTCTACAATCATAATACTTTACGTATTGTATAGATCAAACTATAATATTCGAGTTCAATCGAGGAGAATATAATAACAATTTGTTAAACTAATCTTTAAAAGATTAATTCTCCGACTAAAAAGAAGTAATATTTTAATATTAAATGATATGTATATAAGTTCTCAGTATAGTTATTATTCGCGAAGTTATATAGATTCACATCTTCATTAAATTCGAAAGTAATATAAAGATAAATTGTACCTTATAAATAATAAAGTACATATTTGGTTTGAGATATATATTCTGATAAAAAATTGATTAGAAAACAAAAAAAAATGTTAAAGGATATATAATATTTGATTGTATTTGTATAACAGTATATATCTCTAATTCAATTTATTATTAATAAAGCTTGATATTAATTATTAATATTTAACTTATATATAACACTATAAAAAAATTTAATTTTATATTAAAAAGAGTTTTGATAAACTTATAATTCTTCAATTTAAAGTACTTTAATACCTTCTTAATATATATATTTTGGTATAGTTTAATTATACATACTTTTCGATCACAAACAATTCAAATTTCTAGAAAATAGAATACAAATCCTAAATCCTTTATTCAAAAAGTATTCTTCAATCCTGTTTTTATAATAATAAGATTCTCATCAATAGGTTCTATAATCAGAAAGTTATTAATATATATTAAGATTATAATATTAATTACTTTAAAATTCACAGCAAATTCTATAAGTTTGTAAACACCATATCTTTTATTATTATTTAATCTCCAGCACTTTATAATTCAATAATATTAAATCCAAACTTTGTAAATAAAAATCTTAATTATTATTTATATGTTTTATTTTATTTTATAAATACCCATCTTATATATATAACATTATTAATAGTAAATATAATATAGGCTTTTTCAATAAATTCAATAAAAGTAATTTAAAAATATTAAAATAAATTCTATTGAATATCAATCTATGGTTTTTTAAAAATATTAAACTAATTTGGCTTTTTTGTATGATTTATAAAGTTTTATAATAATAAAATCATTATTTGAAAAAATGAATTCTATATTAATAATAATTACCTATATTTTCTTAATAATATTATAACTAATATAATTAAATTTGTAATATATTAACTTCTATATCGATTTTGCTATATATTATATAATCAACATAACAAAATGTTATAATACATTTTCTAATATACAAAATATATTATTATCGAATTTAATATTAAATTTATTATTTGATAAATATACTTTCTTATCTTTAAATTAATCATTTGTTTTATAAAATCTTTTTATTATAAATAAGTAATATATATATTGAAGAGATAATAAACATTATTTAGATAAATTATTAAAACCCTTTTATTTGATAATCTATAATATAATATAATAAAACCCTTTTTATTTGTTTTAATATTTTTATTTTTTATAAATATAATTAGTATATAACCAATTATAACAAAAGAATCTGAATTGAATTAGGTAGTATTAAATAGGCTGCGCAACGAGTACCCGCGGGGCGGATAATGACCTCGACAGATAATTTGCGGATAATTTGTTTGCAAAGTGGATAATTCAAAAATCTGAATGGATAATCTACGGGACAGGTATAAATTACTTGCGGATATTCATCTACTTATATATTGTATAATTATTTATAATCTTTTATAATATTAATATAATTTTATGATTAGTATAAAAATTAATATAAAATCACTTTTAGGCTAAAATAATTTGGGAATAGCTTTATATTTTAAATGAAAAAAGCAAATATATTCATATAATCAATAAATTATTCATAGATAACTCATATATCTGTAGATAATTCATCTATCCGTAGGTGGGTGGATTATCTACAGATAATCTACAAATTATCCATATAAAACAGGTAATTTTAAAGCCTCAACAAATAATCTGTAGAATGAGTAGAACCTCTAATAGATAACCCGCGGAGTGGATTATTCTCAAATAATCTACGGGTACAGATAATTTGTGCGCAGCCTAGTGTTAAAACAATAATCATTAAATACACCTGTATTCGGTTTTTATTTTAAATTTAATAGACTAATATTGACAATTATTATAAATATTATATATACTCTTTTCTTTTTAAATAATTCATTAAAATAAATTGATTTATTATTATTATTATTGTTTAGACTTTGAATAATTAATATATTAATTACTTTTTTTTATAGAATTTCTTTTTCAATTTAAAATAAATCTTTTAATAATCTATTTTTATATAATAAATCTATTTGTTATATTTCTTATAAAAATCTTATTTTTCTTATCCTTTTTGTTTTGAATAGTAGGTATAAAAATCACAATAAATAATATTTTAATTTAATTTCAACTTTTATTAGTAGTATTGGTTTGAAGGGAGGAAAGAATTAAAAGTATAGTTTTGTTAATTGATTTTGAATATTAGCTTTAAGTTTATTATAACCAATAAAATTGTAAAGTACTTATATATCTTAAAGTATATTATTTTATATAAGGAAAGATATTTAGCTTTTTTAAGCAAAAAACAATAATATTAAATATAATATTGAATTCTTTAATAAATATAAAGTTTATATAATTAATGAAAATAGAAGTATTAATAGCATTAATTTTGATAGAAAAATCTAATCCTTTATAATAAACATAAAGTTTCTTTTATATCTTTACTACAGTAGTATATTCTATAATAATACTTTAGTTATTTTTATGAACATTATATTTAATTGTAAGCTATACAATATTATCCTATTAATTATATTCCTGCCATATTTTCAAACTTTCTTTTTAAAAAACCATATACTTTATTTTAATTAATGATTCATTCTTATTGATTATTACTAAGACTTTCAACTTCCTTTTTATATTTAGAAAACAAAGAATCCTAATATTTCGATAAAAAATTAGAAAATTATTTTTAAAAGATAGGAAATTTTCCTTCTTTTTGAAATGAAGATTTGTTATTAATATAATAATTTTGAGATTTGTTATAATGAAGCTTAATAAAATTATAGAAAATAAGTTTGTAATTAAAAAAGGTTGAGGAATAAAAAGGGAAGAATTTATTGATATATTAATAATGTTTTTCAAATTAGAGAAATCTAAATTCATAAATATTCTAATAATAAAAAATTTCTTTAAAGTAAATAATCTTCTCAGAAAAAATAAATATATTTGTTTTAATAATAAAATTTGTAAAAAAAGATTGTATCGAATACTCATTCTAATAATAGAGTTGATTAACATATAAAATAAATAATCACCGGATTAATAATAAAGATTAATAAATAAGTTTAATAATATGTTTTTTATAATACTAAAAACAAAAAGCTTATAATCTTTTATAAGTATATGAAGGTTTGTATTATAATAACTATTATATTAACTATGTAAGAATCAAGAGTAATATATTCTTAATGACTAAGTTATACTAAATGAGAGTAGTGAATTCATTCAATAAAGTATTTATATAATTATTTTAATAGCTTTTTCTTTTTAAATTTTTCCTTTATTTTATATATAATTTTTAATACTTTCTTATTATTAAAAATAAATTAATCTTATAATTTGATTTTCTTATTTTTAATTTTCTTTTTTCAAGTTTCAATTATTTGTTAAATATTAATAAGCTATTTCCAAATTAGAGCAATCTCAGTATTTTGAGATTTTATAATTTTAATAATATTTTTAATAATATTTTTAATAATATAATATATAAGAAACTCGGATACTTTTAGTTTATTATTAATTTGAAATTGTAATAACTTTTATTATATATATTTAATCATTTTTTATATTTGTTTAAATTAAAGAAAGGCTTTAAAAGGCTATAATTATATTTGAATTAAAAGAATTTAAATTAATTAGAAAGGCTATAAAATATTTTGAAATTCTCAAGTTTATTCTAATTAATAGGTTGGCTAAAAAGAAAATATGATTTTAAATTTACAAAATAGTTTAAATTCTTTTAAATATAAAAGAAAATATTTTTATATAATAAATTTTATAATTTATTATTATTAGATTCCTTATTACATTTATATTAGTAAAGAAGGTAGTTAATGAAATTCGTTTTCAATATATTCAAATCACATTATTTCGAAATCCCATTTCAATAAAATGCCATTTATAAATTACAAATGAATTTATAGATTCCAAAAATAATATTTAGAATTTAAAATATACTATTTATATTAATTAAAATCTAATAAAATTAAAGAGGTAATTTTAAAGAATATTTAGATTTAGTTTAATATATTTCGTGTATATCTTATTAAACAAAAATATAAATTAAATAATATATATAATATAAATGAAACAAAATTTAAAATTTAAAATATTTAAAATACATATATTATAATTGATTCTATTTAGAAATCAAATCAAAAATTATAATTAATAAACAAAAATAAATAGTTATATTTAAATATATTAATATAATTGAAAAGGCTTTGTTATCTATAATTATTTTCAAGATTTAAAATATAAATTCTATATAAATTCCAAAGGATATATTTCAAAGCTAATAGTTCTTTATTAGTATAAATAAATAAATCTCAAATAATTATAAATTAAAATAATTAAAAAGGGTTTTCGAATCAGAATGTAAAAAAGTATTAAATATTCAATCTCGATTTTTGATTATGAATAATCATTTAAATTATATTATAAATAGTTTTATTATTTTTTATATAAAGAATAATATTGATTTATTTATATTATCTTTTAATTATTTTTACTTACTTAAATCACTTAATATTATAATATATAAACTAATAAAACAATATTATGCTTTAAAGATTAATCAATATTCTCGAATTAATATAAAACAAATCTAAAAAACTAAATAATAAAACTCTTTCAAAAAAAAAAAAAGTATTGTATTCTTTTAATATTAAAACTGACTAAAAAAACTAATTTAATATCTTTTTCCTTATAAAAAGTATTTAATATATTATTATTTATTTCCTTTCAATAATCTTCTATTTTATAAATAAAGACTTCTAATTAAAATCTAAATTTATCTATATTTAGAAATTCTTTTTCAAATAGAATAGAATTAAAATAAGCAAATTAAATCTTTAATATAACTTTAATAAATAATAGTTCTTTTATATTACTAATTTGTTAATATATTTAAAAAATGATTAGATAGTTCTATTTCGAAAATAACTTTCTAATATTCAGAAAGTAATTAAGATTTGAAAGAAAAGAATTAAAAATAAAAGAATCAATTTATAGAATCAATTTATTTTTTGTTGGAACACGTGACCAACAACGTGACATTACATATCATGCTTTACCCCATATACGCATGAAGTGTGTATGTGGGGGTAGTACATGTATATAGATATAGCAATTCCTTTTTTATATGAAGAGGGTAGATAGAAATAAATAATCCTTTTACCCATACATATTGTGTATATATTCTTTATCAAGTCTGCCCAACATTTTTAATATTAAAAAAGTTTTAAAAATGATATATAAACTGTCGGAGCGTATGATCACATGCTTAAGCGAATCACATGATTCTTCCTATTATATATATAATGGGAAGAATCATATCTTATTCTAGATCATCTCAATTTATATTATTCATTTTATATAGGCTATACAGTACTGTATATGGTGATTTGAGTTGACGACTCCTCTCTCTCAAGTGATCCCAACATACACATAAAGCTTAAAAGCATTATAACAAGGTTAAAATAACTCAGGAATTATGATATAATCAATCCCCTAAGAACTAGCTTATTTAATAGGAATAAATATTGAATTTTATATACTAATTTCTTTGTAATATTAGTATATGTAAAGACTTATATATTTATATAGGCATTTGAGCGATTAATATGGAGTTCTGATTAAATTACAAAAGTAAACAAAGAAATATATTAAAGAATATTTATTTCAATATGATTATATTAATATATAATTACTCAGTAATAATTTAATTTCTTAGCTTATTATTCTTGTTTTGAATAAATATAAATATTAAAGTTGTTAATTTAAAATCTATAAACGAAATATTATTAGATAGTATTATAATAAGGTTTATAATTAGAAGAGGATAGTAGATAAGGAAATATTTTGATTAATTAAATTATAATATTAATTTGGGATAAAGAGAGGGAGACTTTAAATTGTTAATGAAATTAAAGAATAAAAGTAGAAATGTCAGGTAAGTTGAGTTATAATATATAATATGGGAAAAGAAATCGATGATTTAAATACTAGTAATAATGATAATAAAAAAAGCGAAAATGATTAGGATAATATTGAAGATTAGATTATTTAAGATATTAGAAAATAAAAGGGGTGAAGTATAATAATAATGATTATAAATATTAAAAGAAGTATCTATTATTGAAATAGATTTATGGTTATAATTGTTACGGGAGCTGCCTCTAGGGTCACGTGGAAGTGTCTAGAGATCTCTCGAGATGGTTTAGATTAAACTTCAAGTAGGAATTCAATAAGGTTATAACTAATTACAATTCTTGTAATTATAGTAATGAAACTAATGATTGTTCTTGAGCACAAAGCTCTATATCCTAATGAAACTCATTTGTTATATAGACCTTCGTCATCTGGAGCCCCTAGGATTCGTATGCTCCTGGAGCCCGTAGCTCCCTAAGGCTCCCTCATGTGACACGCGAATGTGTCATGTGATGTCTGTCGTAACAATAATATACTAAGTAGAATAAAATGTTAAACTAATTCAAGTATAATTTAATTAAAATATTTTGTTATACTTATATATCTGATTTAAAGAAGCTATAATTGGAATGATTATTATATATATAGAATCGAATTTTGAAGTATTATTTGAATACATTGAAAGTAATAGATTATAAGAATATATTAAAGTAATAAGTATTCCTCAAAAATAAAGTTGTGAATTAATATCCATTTGAATTACTATAAAATGCCAAAAGTGTGGATAAATATAATCGAATCTTTACATATTCCATTTATTATATAATATATATAACATTATTAAAGAATTATATAAATGAAATAGATATATTAAAATTATTTTTAAAGGTTTTAATATTATTACTCAATTATTATATCAAATTTGATTATGATTATAGAAACTGGAATGAAATATACTAATATATAATGGAAATATATTTAAAGAATTCAGGGCAAATTGAATAAACCTATTTTTACAAATAATAAGGCTGAAGATCAATCATTAACCAATACTTTGATGTATTTGCATATATTAACGATGATGCAGGACAGAACTCACAAGGACTATCCAAAAAGCAACAGAAACGTGTATACTCAAAGTTGTTTCAATCAAAAGAGCTAAACCATGGTGGTCACCCGAGTTGAAAGATCTTCGAAAAGAGCTAGGAAAAGCAAAGCAATTAATCGAATCAAATCGAGAGAACCCGAATCTTAAGGAAGAATATCGAATTGCTAGAAACAAATACTTTCAAGCTATTAAAACAGCGAAAAAGGATCATTGGAATGATTTCCTAGAAAAGGAGGATACACAGACAGTTTTCAAAGCAATGGCCTATACTAAAGACTTTCAAGACCAAAAGATACCAAATATTGCAACAGAAAGCTCTTTTGAAGGAAAATGCGTCGCTTTCAGATCGACTTTATTCCCACCCCCTCCTATTACTCCAAAACCACAATGGGAAGGGTATAAACAATCCCAAAAATGGGAATGGCCTAGTCTTTCCCAAATCGAATTAAGAAACGCCTGCTCAGCTAAAATTCAAGGAAAGACCCCTGGCCCAGATGGAATTACTCAAGAGATCATTACAAAAGCTTACAAAGCTATTCCACAAGTCAATAAGAAGACCTCAACATTATTCATGGATATAAAGGGAGCATTCGATCACGTCTCAGAAAACCGATTATTGGATATCTAAGTCAACTACCCCACTTTCCGACCACCCCCTCTTTTCGACCACCTCAAAAACCACACCGCTTTGAGTAATTATAAAATTTATACTTTGAATAACTCAACAATGCTTTAATCAATTGATTTGAAATTTTGATATTATTATAATTGTGATATGAAGAATAGATATACCGAAGAAGATATCGCAGAGGCTCTTAGAGCGATTACAAATGGAGCAAGCATACGAAGAGCTAGCTTGGATTATGGTGTTCCACGTACCACACTTCACGATCGAATATATGGTGGAGTTTCGCATCAAAAAGGCGCCCAAATACTTCAAAAGTTATCTCCAATTCAGGAGAATCGACTAGCAGAATGGATATTAGTACAGGAAGCTCTTGGTACTAGCCCTACACATCGTCAAATCAGAGAGATGGCAGAGCACCTCCTTATTGTACGAGGGGAGGATCCCTCACTTGGAAAGAAATGGATACATAGCTTTTTTCGAAGGCATCCTAATATTGGAACTAAGAAGCAACATCAAATCGATTCTGCACGAGTTTCAGGTGCTACATCTGATATTATTAAGAAGTGGTTCCGGAACCTCGCAATCCCTGAAATCAAGGCTATTAAGCCGGCCAACAGATAGAATATGGATGAAGCAGGTATAATGGAGGGTCAGGGTCTTAACGGACTAGTAGTAGGAAGCACTGATCGAAGATTTATTCAAAAAAAGCAACCTGGATCTCGAATTTGGACCTCTTTTATAGAATGCATTTCAGCCAATGGAAAAAGCATTACTCCCCTTGTAATATATAAGGGAAAATCAGTTCAACAACAATGGTTTCCAACAGATTTGACTCTATTCAAGGGTTGGAACTTTACCGCTACAGAAAATGGATGGACTACAGATGCTACAGCTTTAGAATGGCTGAAAAAGATCTATATCCCTCAAACTACCCCTATTCAGCCGGAAAATTCAAGACTCCTCATTTTGGACGGACACGGAAGCCATGAAACTACAGCATTTATGTTAGAATGCTTTAATAACAACGTATATCTCTTACTTCTCCCACCACATACGTCACACGTACTACAACCACTCGATTTATCTGTGTTCTCACCCCTAAAAAGTGCATATCGAATCGAACTTAATAAATTAAGTCTATTATCCGATTCCTCACCAATTGGAAAGCGCAATTTCCTTTCTTGCTATCAGAAGGCTAGAATAGAAGGTTTAACTATTCAAAATATCAAGTCTGGGTGGCAAGCTAGTGGTCTTTGGCCCAAAAATATGGCTAAACCTCTTATGAGTCGACTTTTGCTTGAAAATAGCAATAGAGAGGTTTTATCACTTAATCCTGAATCTGATGATGATCCTATTCTTCAATGGAATATATATTCATCGTTTATTCAATGGAAAACCCCTCAAAAAGGAGCCGATATCAGAAAATATAGAGATATAATGATTCAAGAGAAGGAGATCGATTTGCCAACACGAAGATTACTATTTCGCAAGATTATAAAAGGATTCGATGCTAAGGATTATGAACTCTTAGAGGCAGAGAATAAGATTAGAAAGCTAGAATATCAATTAGATGAAGCATTACCTAGAAAAAGGCGAAAGGTTGTGGTATCTCCAAATTCGAAGTTCGCAGGGATTAGAGCTATAAGGCGTACACAAATTGAAGCTGGAGATCGTGAAGATGAGGTAGATGATAGCTCTAGTGCTATAGAAAGTGATTCTACAGGCGATTTCATTGAAGTTCAATAGTTATTGAGTTATTAAAGTTTTAAGTGTAGATAATATGAATTTTTTAGGTGGTCGGAAACAGGGGGTGGTCGGAAAGTGGGGTAGTTGACTTACAAGAAGTTAAGATTATCAACGAATCTTATCTCCTGGATAGCTTCATTTCTTCAATAAAGACAACTAAAACTATCCTTTAACAATCAAATTGAAACTTTCAAGCCAATTTCGACCGGAATACCATAAGGCAGCCCAATTTCTCCAATTCTCTTCCTTATATACATTAGGGACCTCTTTTTATCCAAATCTATTAAATTTCTTTCCTATATTGATAATATTGTCCTAATCACCAACTCATCTATATAGAAGAAGAATATCAAATCTCTAGAAAGAGCTACAAAGCAAATATACGAACTCAGCTCAAAGAATGCTATTCAATTCGATTTAGCAAAAACAGAGCTAATGCACTTTTCGTTATCCAAAATAACGAAAAACTATCCAATCACACTACCCAATTCGGAAACAATTATACCTCAATCTCTAATTAGATGGCTGGGAATATGGTTCAATCCGAATCTCAAATTCGATCAACATGTTAATATTCGAATCACACAAGTGAAAGGAGTTTTCCATCGAATGGCCCGATTAGCTAATATTGAAAAGGGCCTTAGTCCTAAAGCCCTCAAACAGCTATATATAGCATATATGACTAATATAGCCGATTGCGGTTCAGTGGTTTGGTGGAAAGGTCAAACACAGTTCAAGAATATGATGCAGTCACTTCAAAACCTAGCTCTTCGAAAGATATTAGGAGTTTTCAAAACTGCCCCAATTCTTTCAATGGAAGTAGAAGCAGGCCTAAAACCCTTAAAAATTCGATTAGATTCGAATATTAAACAATATGCATTCCGTTTAGCTAAACTTTCATTAAACTATCCAATCAATATCGAAAAAGCATCACTAATCCAATATCAGGCCAATTTGGATGTGATCCCTATTCCTTGAAGACAACGATATAAACCTACTCAACTGGATAGAATCAGAGAATCGATAAACCAGGACTTCAACCCTTCCTCACTCAAAAAGATCATTCATTTTAACTTCCTCTTATAGAAAAGAGAAATCCCTTTCCAAATTAACATTAGCAATTCGTTAAAAGAAGATACTGCTATCCTTTATAATATTGTTTTCAAACACAGGGATAAGAATACTACCTATATTTACACTGATATCTTCTTTATTGAGAAGAAAATTGGTATTGGAATAGGCATAATAGCTATACAATTAAATAATCGAATTCTATATTAAGAGCGAAGCAATATTAATACTAATCAATTGGTATATAATAGAGAGCTTTTTGGAATTATAAAAACTATCGAATATACTAGCTCAATTGCTTATACTAAACAAAAGTTCAAAATCTATTTGGATAATCAAGCTTGTCTATAATTATCGCTTAAAAACTCCTTCAGATTACCTAGGACAAGCCAACCAGATAAGAGCAATCAAAGCAGCAGAAGCTATCAGAGCAAAAGGAGCCGAAATCTCTTTAAATTAGGTTCCTAGCCACACCTCAGTCAAAGGAAACGAGCTAGCAGATAAGCTAGCCAAAGGAAGCAACCGCAATACAACCCACCTCGAACGAAACAAGCTTTGGACTACTAGGTATAATTGTCAAAGAATATGCCTCAGATTAATAGCTTGATACTCTCAACCAATACGAACTCAGATCAAGCCAATCCCCATCCACTTACTCGAAACTATTTCCATAGAAAATAGGTTCCAAAATCAAGCTACCAAGCGGAACTAGTAGAAATACTGCTAGCGCATTCTTTCAACTCAAATTAGGTCATGGATATATCAAATCCCATTTACATCGTTTCAAACTCATTAATAACAGATATATATGCAACAACATTGAGGCACCACAACACCTTCTTATTAGCTGTCCTATATATAAAGCAGAAAGGAAAGAAATCTTTAAGAAAATTCCATTATCCAAAATCACTATACAATTCATATTGCATACAAAAGTAGGTATTGAATTAGCTATCAAATTCATCAATATTACCAAAATCGCTACAAGGGTATGGCACCTAGCAAGGACTCTTGAACAAGAAGTTATAGAGGAAGGAGTAGGGTGGAAGAGGAGAGAGGAGAAGAGAATGAAGAAGAAGCAGTTGGGGAAATAAGAGAGGTTTTTGACCTCCTTACAATTTCTTCATTTTCATAATTTTCTTACTATATGCAATGCGTATAATGAGCGCGCACTGTTCCCTAACATTTGTTTTCACTTCCCCAATTAGATCATATCCAATATTGTAAATTAAAAAGTTATCTGTTAGGCCCGTAGGGCCTAGCCGTCCTATATAGTCGTGGACTGAAAACGGACGTTAATAAAATCAATCAGTCAATCAAAGGCGTGTCTGAAATACACAATCTTTCAGAACTACTTCTTGAGGTGAATATTGAACTGGTGTCACCTCGATTTGAAAAAACACTATTCTGGTGTGTGTTGCATATATTATGTTTCTTTGTCTTCCTCTTCTTAATATTTTCTCATTCACTGCCTCCAACATCAAAGGGGTTATTGTATAGCACTATCAACAAATTGGATCATATATCAACATATGAACTAATAAGATTAGTACAGAAAACACACCCTTTATGACATATAAAAAATCTCCCTTAAAATTGCACCATAGTTTCTTGCGGGCTTTAAAACATACTCCCTGTGGTTGAAGTTGACTGGATCGTGGATAAAAGTAGATATATTGCTGCCCATCTAATTATACTGGTGGAATTAACTTGTAAATATTTAACACTATGAAAATAAAATTGTTGGAGGTAATTTTCCAGAATATAATAATAATAATAATATTCTAGTAATAGTGGAAGACATAGTCACTTTAGCTTGAAGGACGAATCGAATATAATATAAGAGTTGAATTGAAGACAAATTATAAAAGAGAGCTTTATTGAGCTGAATTTGCTTGCTTTTTCCTAGGTTTTCTTTAAAGAATATCCTAGGTTTATATAGTTTATAATGAAATTCTAGTAGTTTCTATGCTTATAAATAAGATCGATTTAAATCGAATCTTACAGAATCATTTTATATTATAAAAGAAAAATACAACCAATCAATTTAGTTAATTTATTATCAATCTTCCATATAATTTCATCTTATTCTATTTCATTATAAATCAATTTGATAAGAGATATAGCTATATTATAATATAATAATATAATTTTATAATATAAAATTATATTATACTTATATTATTAATATATATATAATTTGATTAGTAAGATATTAATAAGTGATTTAGTATACTTATTATAGAATCTCACAAAAATAAAACCCGAACTGGTGATCAAATGAATGTGTTGGGACAGGGATCATGTGACTACGCTAGCGTTGACGCTAGCGTCTTCCGACACTACAGCAATACGTTTCGTAGCCCTAGCTTTTAGAACCTCAAGCAATATAACAACAGTGTGAACCATAGTACTATATTGACTTCACCATCCCCATGGTGATACCAACAGAATGGTATCCTTCTCATTCTCACCCACCGATTTTCACCTCCAACAATCATTTTCTCAATATCCCCCTGCTCCTCACTCCTCTCCAACTGTTAAACCTTTAAACTCTTTTCTTGATCTCGATCTCCGCTGCCTGATCTGGAGTAATTACAATATCAATACTGAAGTTTTCCGGTCTTCCTCCTCCCTTCATCTCTGTATCCCCAACATTTCTGAAGTCCCATCCTCTCAACAACTCTATCATGATTATTTTTATTTCAACTCCTGCGAAGAAACGACCTGGACATGCGTGGTTACCTATTTAAATGTTAATTATTGATTCTTCAGAGGACTCTTCATTTTTAAGACTGGGCTTAGGTGAAATTGACAGGGGATTCAATGAATTTGTGAGAGATGAGAACAGGAAATAGGGAATACATACCATGACCAAAATTCAAGGCTTCCTTACTTGTTGACACATATTGATATTTGGATTCATTTCCTGGAATCTCACGGATTGAAGCAAAGCGGAAAGGAGAGAAAATACTGGGAGGATCGAGTTGGGGCATAGTGGAAGGATCGTGGGGAAGCGAAGAGAGATCGGGGTTCGCCATGTTGAGTACCTGGGCATCGTATCCTATGCGGGTCCCTTTGGGGATAGTGTGGCCGGTAGACAGGTGAAGAGGAGCGGTTGTTATGCGGATGTTTGAAACTGGTATTTGTTAGATTGTTTTCTTTTATTTTCCATACTTTATCGTGATGTGAATTGGAAAAAGAATGGTCAACTTACTTATGTTAGGAGGGTTCAACCTCTGACTTTCTTTCAAGAGACTATCCAATTTCTTGAGTTTTGCCATTGACTGTTTCTTCAAATATTTCTTTCCGCCGCCATCAACTTCAAATCCATCTTCTGCGATCACCTGTTCGATTTCTTCGCGGAGAGGTGCGATAAATTCCGGATGGGAAGCGAGATCGAATAAGATATGACAAACAGCCATAGTCGTTGTACGAATTGAAGCGAACGATAGATTCAACTGGTTTATGGCTAAGTTGTAAGGGTTCTCTCTAAGCTCCGGACTTGTGTGCTTCATAATCCAGCTAACAAACGTTCCCTGATCATCATCAAATTCATCACCCGAGTCCTCTCCAATTCCTTTTCCCTCTTTGAACCTCCGAATACATTGATTGATAAGTGGCTTCAACAACTCTGCTGCCTTTTCCGTATGTGCTTTCACCTTCTTAACGTCTGGTAGGAACGGTACTACAAAGTATCTTGTCCATGCCGGCCATTCAGTCGCAGCATTCTTCGCTTTTATACAATCGATCGTGTATTGAGTGCTGGTTTGAAGCCACTCTTTATTTCTGCTAAGAGGTCTTCCCACGGCGACTCTCCCGCTAACTAATGCCACGATCCTTACTACTTTCTCAAACAAAACCACTTTAGTCCAGGATTCGCTCGTGCCAAATTCTGTATCTAATGCATAGTGCGTTTCATCTTTGAGAGCACCAGCAACTGATGTAGTATGACGAGTTAAATCATTTTTGATAGTTTTAACGAGGACGGGTGCATCCTGGCCGACTTTGGTATGGGCTGAGAGGAACATGCGGTCAATTTCTTTCTGGAAGGATGCCTTTTCTTCGGCGAGGAAGCGGACTTCGTCAAGAGTGCAATGGGGTAGGACAACCAGGGGAGGATCGCTGGGGAGGATGAAGGGAATGTTAGGGTACTGATTTGTGAGTTAGAATACTGGAATCCCAAGGGACGAATAGCTGATGGAGATATCCTTACTTTGGCCGTTCCTTCACGTAATTCCTTTTGCCAATGATCAGCACCTGGTTTTCCCACAATTGGAAGATCCAACTTTTGGGGCCGAGAAAGTATGGCTTTAATAACATAGGCTAGAACAAGCAACGCTGAAGCACCTAAGAAGAGTGGTGATATGGTCATGTCTTTGCTTTTATCGAAGAGTGCTGGCGACATCTTGAAAAATATTCGATGTATGTCCTTAGCTCAAGCAATTCATATGTCTTCAGCAGTTATAAAACCCAAGACTGAAATCAAGTAACTGAAGCTCATCCAAAGCTTCCTTGTTACCAAAAAAAGGCAATGGAAACAAAGATGTAGAAATATTGAATGGTCCAGAATTCAAGTTTTTTATGAGGGCAGCGAAGACTTATTTATTATATACTCGGCTCGGACATCATTACCCAGCCGCATAATTTGTTGCATTGTTCATTTGATTCTCAACCTAGGATATGTTGAACTAACCATCTGACATATGCAGTATGTAAATACCATTGATATACCGTTGATATACCATTGATATACCGTTGATATACCGTTGATATACCATTGATATACCGTTGATACACCTATTATATTGTCACTATCCCCTAAGACGCGTCAATTGGGCTCCGAAAGTGGTCCGTGCATCGAGCAAAAGCATCAATAACTTCGTAAATAATATTAGAAATAACAGTCTTTGTAATAAATTTGAAAATTGATATCTATTGAAATATTAGTAATAAGTTACGTTATAAGAAATATCAATATTGGTTTCTTTTGAGATTCATTTTATTCAATCTTGAAATTTGAAGAAAATGATGATTTTTGAACTCACTTTTCCTATATCTCAAAAACTATCAATTATTTCGAGGTTTTCTGATTATCAAATAGATTTATATAAAATTTAAGTTTTTTTATAAATAAATTTCGATGAAATAATGATTGGTTATTTGATTTTGAATATCAAAAAAGCCTGAATTTTAGTGTATTTTGAAGTGTACAGGGTCATGATATGTATCGAGGATTCACCCAAACTGATCATTCAAACCAAAGAGTGACTCTGAGGGTTGTAGTGAATCCTTTTTCGTATAAAGTAGAATAAGATTAAGCATAGATTTCAATTTAAGTTTAGACTTAACAACCTTAAGCTTTTCGACTTGTGAGGAATAACATCTCGGCAAAACTAGAAGCTCTTTGAATGAAACGATTCTTTCATTTATCAAGATGAAAATAAAGGACAAGCTTTCAGAAGCGACTAGATTAGACAGCCCCTCTTGCTCCGGGAAATAATTCGCCGGAGAAAAAAACCTTAAGAAATTTGCCAACATTTAGGTGCTGACAACCATTAACCACTTTGAGAACATACACGATCTTTCCTCACATTGACCATCAAGTTATCCTTGTTTCTCAAAGATGAACCTTGTCTTAAAACAAGGTGGGATATGTAAAATGAATATTCACCCTGTCCAAGGGTACTACATAGTACTCTACTTGCTAGGATCTTGGAGTACAAAGATTATCCCTCTGTCGCAGGGACAATCATCCGAACCTAGGATAGGATCTAAAGCATTTACGAATAGCACTTCGGTGTTCTATCCGGATCCAAATAGGCTATTCGACTGCAACTTGCAAGGTCTATTATCATCTGCTGTATTGTGTACTACCCCGCAATTTCACTTTGATTTCTTTGGCTAGATCTCCTTTTTCCCTGAAACAAAATCTATTCTCTATAAGCTCTTTATTGTAATTTGCGTCGATTTTATCCTCCGATAGTAGCATCCCCCAGTAAAGCATGTCACGAGGACCATAAATTTCTATATCACGGGCTCCTCTCTCCTCTGTTTCTCGTCATCACTCAGATTGAGCAATCCACACCTTTTTATTTATCTGAAACTTGGTCTGGGTTTCATAAACTATAATCCAAGTTGTATGGTATATTTCATTTTCGATATATTTTCTGGAGAAGCCATTAATATGTGTACTTAGGCGCATAACACTTCCAATTACGAGATTGAAAATGAAATTACATTCTCCAATAGATATGGAATTGTTGTATTTCAATAATATTGGAACACCCCTTTATAAATCTTTTGTTAGTGTAAACATAAACTCTCTAACATTATTAGGTATCTTATAGATAATACGGTCGAGCTATAGTATTCAGGTTTTTATATTGCTACTACAACATTTAATCTGAAAACCATTCTTGCCAACCCCTCGAATACAGACTATACCCTCCTGATTAGAGACTTAGACATTATTACAGCTCTACTCCGCCTTTAAGCAGTTAATGTTCCTGTTCTCTAGTAATTCCTTTATAAAGCCGAGGGTGATTAGTTCTGGGGCGTTTAGGGGCTATAAGTTAAAAAACTTAATTGCTTTAAGCCTAGATATTAAATTAAGTTGTATTCTTTATCTAACTTTATCTTATACGAAAGTGGGTTTATTAAATTTTAGGAGCTACCCTCTAGCTCTAGTAATACTTAAAAGGGAATTAATAGGACAGTATTAATGTGACACTTTGTTGTAGAAGAACTACAAGAGCAGGGTACAATTTATCCTTAGAATTTACAACTATAGAATCGAGAGCAAAGTGCTTATAGAGTGTATCTATATATTAGCTATATATATGTGATTGTGTACGTGCGTACATGCGCATGTGAGCGATCGTAGTTGCGATTGAGGCCGATCCGTAATAATTAATTTATATATATTTCTAATTAACTCGAAAGATTTATTTTTCTATAAAAAGTAATTAATAACTTTCAGTAATCCTTTTTATAAAATAGTATTAATATTCTAGAAATATATAGAGTAGTTAGAGGTATATTATTATAAAAGAAATGTAATCAATTTCGCTTTATTATTTAATAGCAAAAGTACTTAAATAAATTCGTTTAATGATTTAATGACTAGAGTCGGACTGAATTAAAAAAATTAATATATATTAAATATAAAGACTTAGGTTTTGAATATAAAAAGTATTATTATAATAATATTATAATGAGTTTTAATTAAATAGTATTATCTAAATGATTAATCTTGTTAAAGTCTATTATAATACTTGTATTATATTCAATCTATATTAATAATATAATATGAATTTCAAAGTTAGATATTGTTCGATATCCCAGGGTCAATAGAAATCCAAAGTTTTACAAGTAGTAAATATAAAACTAGCTTTTCTATTCCAAGTGCTGCGTTTAGAGTTTTGGTAGGTCTATACACAAGCGCTTAGTAATCTATCTCTTCCTCCTTAGCAAAAGAATAACTATCATTAATATATAGGAAGTTTTTCCTTCGAAATTTGTTGTGTGTGAGAGTGACGCTTTGATCTTGTGATGTTCATGTGAAGTTTTGATTATCGAACAATTGGAAATGAGGCTTATCACTTCCCGTTTACTCTGGAACTTTGATATGTCACTGGTGATAATGGGAGAACATGGGGAAACGAATAAGCTCTGGGATATGGACGGTGCGGGTAAGTATATAAAGTTTATCAGACATGGAATAAGCCCGATATGTGGGTCTTGTTAAAAGAGCTTCCTAGATAGGATAGTCTAGTAAATCCGGTATTCAAGCGGGAACTTCGGATTCTCCGGTGTTTCTTCATTCTCTCATTTGGTTTGAGCTGCTTGAATAATTTGATATTTTGATACCTCAATAGTTTAATCCGTCTGTACATTTTATCTTATGAGAATGGTTTTACTTGTTTTCATGTATTTTCAATGCTTCGAGAATGTAGATATTCGAGAGTAGCTAGATTGATGAGTTCTTTAAAAACAACATTTTTGTTATTGAAACAAAAAGTGATAGTGTTTAAATTCTATGGGAAGTCGAGGGTCCTACGAAGAGAAGCATCTGAAATGATAGTGGAACGTCAAGCCAATTAAAAATAAATTAAACTGAGTAACATGATTTATCACCGAGTGGATCATATTACTAAATAGATTATTTGAAAATACATCAAAATTAGCTACTTTTAAACATTCTTATTTTAATAATTAATCATTATTTTGAAAAATAAAAGAATCTAATAAAATAATAAAAGCTTAGTTGCTTAGAAATCTAGTTTTTATATAAATATTTCTATTATGTTCGATAAAAAATTGAAAATGTTACGATTTTCGTTATAAAAAACTATTTCTGTAATAATTCTTATATTAATTCGAATTTTCTAAAAAAAGTTAGATTTTTATAATAACTTTATAATTAAGTTTTATATATTCAATTTTAAAAGAATTCTATTAATAAATAAAGAAATTATACGATTATATATAGATAAAGAAAACACGAAAAAATTAAGGAAAGATTTTCTTAGAAAAACCTATTAATCTTTACTATAACGTAGTTTATTAGTGTGTACATTATATCAGTATGTGTACCATTTCAAAATATATTAAAATTAGGTCTTTTTTAATATTCTTATTTTAATAACTAATCATTATTTTAGAAAAAAAAAATATTAAATAATTATATGAAAATAGATTCTTAGAAATCTAGTTTTTATATAAATATTCCTATTAAATCTTAGAAAAAGTGAAAATCGTTATGATTTTCATTACAAAATAATTATTTTTATAATAACTACTTTATAAATTAAGTTTTTCTTAAAATTAATTAGATTTTTATAATTTACATATAATTAAATATTTTATATTAAAATTTCAGAAACTTCAATTTATAAATAAAGAAAGTGTATGGTTATATATAGATGAATTTTATATATAAAATGAGTAGTACACGTATTGATATGGTGTATGTACTAATAAACTATATTATTCGAATCAGAATATTATCTTTTACTCTTTCTCGAAGTCATTGAATTGATATTTATCTAAATTAAAAAGATATTATTATTAATATTAAGAAGGAGGGTTTAATATATTTATATTAGAATTATTAATATCGATATTATTAATAATAAGCTTATTATATTAAATATAATTAATAAAAGAAATTAAATTATAGATTCCTATAATGATTTAGGCTTTTTAATATTCGAAGGCTTTATAAAAGGGTTTTAATCATAAAGAAGAAGGTTTTTAAATATAGAAAAATAAAGAATGAAAACTCTTTAAAAAGTTTTACTTTTTTCAAGAAATATTTTATAAAAGATATATTAATATAACATTTAATATTTTATTGATATGTTTATAGCTATTATATATAGATAAAAAGAAAAGCTAGATTTTTTGAAAAACATTTACAATATATTTATTCAAATATATAATACTTTATATTAATATATAATATTATTACGAAATACTGATTTTAATATTACCTTATATAATAAATAATATATTACTAACTATAATTAAAGAAGTATTAACTCT